CGATTTTCGACGGCCCGAAAATCGGGCCCGGGGGAAACCCCACCCCCGCGTGTGCGTCACCCGGAAGTGACGTCACACGCGGCGCGCGCACCGAAGACGCCGGCCGGGAGCCCCCCGCTCCCAGCAAAAATTTATTTGGCAACCCTACACCTGGCACTCAAGCAATTCCAGTTAATGGATCTCAAATGAGACCCAGGGCTGGTCAGAGGTGGGTGCTGGGTCAGTAGAAATCATCCTAGAATCACGGAAGGGGCCCTAGAGACCAACTAGTCCAACCCTCTCTCTGACAAATATCCGTCCAGCCTCTTCTTGAAAGCTGTCGGCGAAGGGGAGCTCACCACCTCCCGAGGCAGCTGATTCCACCTCTGAACCACTCTGGCCGTGAAAAAGTGCTTCCTAATATCCAGCCGGTACCTTTCTGCACGTAATTTAAACCCGTTGCTTCGGGTCCTCTCCCCTGCCGCCCACTGGAACAGCTCCGTGCCCTCCTCCAAAGGACAGCCTTTCAGATATTTAAAGAGAGCGATCGTGTCCCCCCCTCAATCTCCTCTTCTCCAGACTACACATTCCTAGGGCCCTCGGCTTTTCCTCTTAGGGCTCTGTCTCCAGACCCCTCGTCATGATCGGGGCTGTGCCACCAGAGGCCTACTAGGCCCAGGGAGCCTGGCTAGCAGTAGGTGAGGCTAGGCCTACAACTCCCAGAAGCTCCTGAGAGGTTTTGGAGCCAAAATTGACCAATAGGAAAAGAGGAGGGCTTGGAACAAAAGATCTGGAGCAGCGGGAAAAACTGTTCTTCTTCTCAGAGGGCAGAGCCAGAAGGAAGGCTGCTGCAGGGGAGAGACCCTCATTCTGAGGGGATGGTGAGTAGTGTAAGGCCACTGCAGATAGTGAGCTAGGGACAGTATATATTTAGACGTGTTAGGGCATTTGATTTCTTTTCACACCCTTACTGTTATTATTCTGCCCCTTGGTTGTTTGACCTCCTATAAAATAAACCTTTTCCTTGTTTCACTCTGCCTGGTCCTCACGCCTGTTATTCGGCCGAAAGGGAGGTCTGAAGGTCTTGGGAGGGTGCTCTGGGCCTTCTCAAGGGATCCTAAATCCAGAGTGGTGGCAGCGTCAGGTGACACCCCACCTGAGCCGTGACACCCCTGATCATCCTCGTCGCTCTCTTCTGCACCCTTGCCTACCTCACAGGGTTGTTGTGCAGATAAAATGGAGGAGAGGAGAACTCTGGGCGCCGCCTTGGGATCTCAGTGGGAAGAGAGGGCACTGCGCTCCTTGGGCAACCACACACTGGGGATCCCTGGCCCTAAGGATATTCGGCTATCCTCGACGAGGGCCAGGGCCTTTTCAGTTTTGGCCCCAACCTGGCGGAACTCTCCGCCAAATCCCATCAGGGCCCTGTGGGACTTTATGCAATTCTGCAGGGCCCACAAGGCAGGCTTTTGGCATCCTCCTCAGTTTCCCATGTTCATTTCGACCTCTTCCCCCCTGCCTGCGAAACAGCCGGCGGTCTATAACAGTGGAATAACTGATTCTAAGGATCACTACTCGCCATCCAATTTTTAATGGGATCTAATATGTTCAGTTGTTTTATTCGGTAACTGTTTTTAATACGATGTACATCGCCCAGAGCCCTACGATAGCAGGGATAGGGTGATTCATAAATTTAATAAATAAACAAAGGGGGTATAAATGAGGTAAATTAAAAAAAAAGGAAGAAACATGTTGTAGAGGGCTTTCACGGCCGGAGTTCATTAGCTGTTGTAGATTTCCTGGGCTGTCTGACCGTGGTCTTGGCGTTGTAGGGCCTGACGTTTCGCCAGCAGCTGTGACTGGCATCCTCAGAGGTATAACACGGAAAGATGAAGTACCCTCTGTGACAAGGTGAGAGGAAAAAGGGTAGGCAGGTGATTTATATCTACTCAGAAAGGTGGGGTACAAGATAATGACTCAGCCCTGCCCCACCTTCCTGAGTAGATGTAAATTACCTGCCTACCATTTTTCTTCTCACCTTGACACAGAGAGTCCTCCATCTTTCCGTGTTAGACCTCTGAGGATGCCAGTCCCAGCTGCTGGCGAAACGGCATAAATTGGTTTGCTCTGGAGCCCTCCTTCCTGAGCGGAGACAAAGATGTGTGAGCTGGAGGCTAAAAAACTGTGAGCCCACTCCTCCGCTTGCACCTGCTGGATGACCTTGGGCAAGCCATAGTTCTCCAGGGGTCATTTTCTGCAGGAACGCACAGGAGCAGAGCTCTGGCAGTAAAGAGCCCAGGGGGCGGGCACATGCAACAAGCCCCGCCCCCTGCTACCAGCAGCCCTCAGTCAGAACAAGAAGCAGCCAGGTACGTTGCAGAGCTCCCCACGGCCCCCCGGTCCAAAACAGTCCAGTGGCACCTTTAAGACCAGGTTTTATTCAGGTACAAGCTCTCCCTCCTCTATGAGGACAGATCTGCACGTTCCCCCCCCCCCAATAGCTGGCAATCCAAAACAGTCCAGTGGCCTTCTGACATGCTTCTGGTGATGTCGGGGGGTGTGGCATATGCAAATGAGTTATGCAAATGAGTTGTGCTAATGAGCTCCTGCACCCCTTTTTCTACGAAATGACCCCTGGTCATTCAAGCTGTTCTTGAAAAAGAGCAGTTTCTGTCAAGAGCTCTCTCGGCCCCACCGACCTCCCAGGGTGTCTGTTGTGGGGAGGGGAAGGGGAAGGCATTTGTAAGCCGCTCTGAGACACCTTTGGGGAGTGAAGGGCGGGGGGTATAAATCCAATCTCTTCTTCTTCTTTTACCTCACAAGGTGTCTGTTGCGGGGAGGGGAAGGGAAAGGAGTTTGTAAGCCGCTCTGAGACACCTTTGGGTAGTGAAGGGCAGGGTATAAATCCAATCTCTTCTTCTTCTTCTTCTTTTACCTCACAGGGTGTCTGTTGTGGGGAGGGGAAGGGAAAGGAGTTTGTAAGCCGCTCTGAGACTCCTTTGGGTAGTGAAGGGCGGGGTATAAATCCAGTCTCTTCTTCTCTTCTTCTTCAAAACCACCCACAGCAATTCCGTTGTTTAGGAAAAAAGTATTTTTAGGACAGGCAGCGTCTATCGTTACCCTACGAACCGGTTCTCTGGTCAGGAAGCAGACCCAGGGGCCCTCTGGAAAAGCGATATGCTGATAAACAAGGAGAGCAGGGTCGTGGAGGTTTTAATTAAACGGAGGCATGATTGCAGTTGCTGACGTGGGCAACTCTCTGATGCCACCCTGGGCCAGAGGTTTAATGTGATAGCCGGGCTAATTAATCAAGCTACGCTTGGTGGAAAAAGGGAAATTACACGGCGGCAGAACAGACCCAGGGAGGAGTCGCCGGGCAATATCTGCCAACGGCGACCTTGAAGAAGGACGAGAAAAAGACTCGCCATGTTTGCAGCTGCTGGGAAACCCATCCCCTCCCGGAGGAAGAGAGAACCGGCAGTTGTGCATCTTCACAGTGCGATGTGGCTGGGAAGAAAGCAAATGCAGTCTTCGGATGCATGAACAAAAGCATCGTGTCCAGATCATGGGAGGTGGTCTCTATTCTGCTGTGGTCAGGCCCCACCTGGAGTCCCGTGTCCAGTTTTGGGCACCACATTTGAGGAAGGATGCTGACCAGAAGAGGCTGACCAGGATGGTGAGAGGCTGACCAGGATGGTGAGAGGGTTGGAATCCAAGTCTTAGGAGGAAAGGCTGAAAGAGTTGGCTCTGTTTAGCCTGGGAAAGAGAAGGCTTAGAGGGGACATGATTGCAGTCTTCAAGTACCTGAAGGGCTGCCATGTGGAAGATGGAGCAGATCTATTCTCTCTGGCTGCGGATTGCAAGAGTAGGTCTAATGGGTGGAAATTACAAGGGAGTCGTTACCGGCTGAATATCAGGAGAAACTTCCTAACTGTTAAGAGTGGTTGAGCAGTGGAACACAGACTGCCTCGGGAGGTGGTGGATGCTCCTCCGCTGGACGTTTCCAAGTGGAGGCTGGACAACCATCTTTCGGGTATGTTGTAGGTATGTAGGGCTGTCTTTCGGCTCTGCTCCTGCAGAATGCTGGGGGTGGACTAGATGACCTGCAAGATTCCTTCCAGCTCTAACATTCTATGATTCTATGATACTCTCTGGTTCATTTCCCACCAGGTGCAGAGGGAGTCACACACTAAAGGCCGTGGCTCAGTGGCAGAGCTTCTGCTTGGCATGCAGAGGGTCCCAGGTTCAAGCCCCGGCATATCCCGTTAAAAGGAGCAGGAAATAGGTGATGGGAAAGACCTCAGCCTGAGACCCTGGAGAGCTGTCAAGAGGGGCCGTGGCTCAGTGGCAGAGCCTCTGCTTGGATGCAGGAGGTCCCAGGTTCAATCCCCGGCAT